CTCATGGACTTTCCTGCCTGGGCTGGCTTTGAACCATGATCCTCAGATCTCAGCCTTCTGAGTAGGATTACAGGCGTGAGCCACCAGCACCTGCCTCCACTCCCCCTTCCCCCATTTTTTTTTTTAAAGTTCAGTGATAGAAGACTTACCTGGCACACATAGGGCCCTGGGATCCATCCCCAGTCCTACACAACAAACAAGCATACAAGAATCATTTCACAGACACCTTTATGGCCCAGCCCCAGGAGCTGGTTGTCCCTGGTGGGCATAGCAACCTGTCCCCATTGGCAGGTGTGATCCTGCTGCGGCTGGACCGGCTTCGGCAGGCTGGCTGGGAGCAGATGTGGAAGCTGACGGCGAGACGTGTGCTCCTCTCCCTGCCCGCCACCTCTCTGGCTGACCAGGTCTGTGGGAAGCTTTGTGGGGCCCAAGGGTGGGCAGGCTAGGGATGGAGGTGTGATGGCTGTCTCTGCCCAGGACATCTTCAATGCTGTCATTAAGGAGCACCCGGGGCTGGTGCGGCCGCTGCCCTGCGTCTGGAATGTACAACTGTCTGACCACACGCTGGCTGAGCGCTGCTACTCTGAGGCCGCCGACCTCAAGGTGAGCAGGGAGGGAGTGGAGGACAGGGGTGGGCACTGTTCTCATGGCTACTCACACCCCTGGGGGTCCCAGGTGATCCACTGGAATTCCCCCAAGAAGCTGCGGGTGAAGAACAAGCATGCCGACTTCTTCCGCAACTTGTACTTGACCTTCCTGGGGTACGATGGGAAGCTGCTGCGGAGGGAGCTCTTTGGGTGTCCCAGCCAGCCCCCACCTGGGGCTGAGCAGGTGAGAGGGGTACCTTCCCTTGTTCCAAGACAGCCCTGAATCTCACTCCTTTCGACGGGCAGCTGCGGGGAGAGCCGTCGGCGGGATCCGGGGGCCACAACCGCTCCGCCTGCGCCCCGCAGCCGCCGCTGCCGCCCAAGTGCGAGGTAGGTAGGTGCGCTCAGCCCCTGGCGGCTGCCGTCCCCGGGGCCCGCGCCCCAGCCCGGACACCTGGACGGACACCCGTGGGAATCCACACACCTGGCCTCTGGCTGAGCGCTGAGCAGCCAGCCGGGGACCCCTGGAGCGTGGGGCTTCTGCGCCTCTGGCCTCAGTTTGCCTGTGAAGTGCAGGTGCGGCCCCATTCCTGCTTTCCCTAGATCTTGATGCCAGGTGCAGCCGCGTTGGCCAAGGCCAGGTGCGCCCAGCGGTCTGGGGGATGCGGAGAACGGCTTGCCAACCTAGTGCCCCTTTCCCAGGTGTTGCACGTGGCCATCGTGTGTGCGGGACACAACTCCAGCCGAGATGTCGTCACTCTGATGAAGTCCTTGCTCTTCTACAGGTACAGCCAGCTGTCGGTGGAGCCGTGTCCCTGGCTTGGGGGCAGTGTCCCTCCTCCCCCAGGGGGTGACTGTAGGAACCTCCTGAGCTGGATGTGGACACGCTGTTTTGGGGAAAGACAGCTGTTACAAAGCTGTTGCCTGCCTCTTGCTCCTGCTGGGCCTTCTCAGACTTCCTCTTTGCCCACCCTAAAGGAAAAACCCCCTGCACCTCCACTTGGTGACTGACGCTGTGGCCAGAAGCATTCTGGGGACACTCTTCCGCACGTGGATGGTACCCTCCATCCTCGTCAGCTTCTATGATGCTGAGGAGCTCAAGGCAGGAGCCCCCACCTCTGCACTCCATTCTGTAGTAGGGGGTGGGGGGAGAGTCTCCATCACCTCACACCTTCACCCTTTTGGGGTCCACCCCCTGCTTCCCAGAATTCCTGCTCTCCCCGCTCACACCCTGCCCTTCCCACCCACAGCCCCAGATCTCCTGGATCCCTAACAAACATTACTCTGGCCTCTACGGGCTGATGAAGCTAGTGCTGCCCCTCGCCCTGCCGCCCAGCCTGGCGCGAGTCATTGTCCTGGACACAGATGTCACCTTTGCATCAGACATCGCGGAGCTCTGGGCGCTCTTTGCTCACTTTTCTGGTGAGAGGCCTGGGACTCGGCCCTGGCCTGACCTTCTCCCTTGTTCCCCAGGCCCCACTGTGGTCTAGCCCCAAGCCCAGGTCCCAGGGCAGCTTCTACAGACAGCCCCCCTCATAGCCTACCCTCCCAGACAAGCAGGTGATCGGTCTCGTGGAGAACCAGAGCGACTGGTACCTGGGCAACCTCTGGAAGAATCACAGGCCCTGGCCTGCCTTGGGCCGGGGATTTAACACAGGTGGGGGCTGTGGAGAGGGAGGCAGGAGGGGTGGACCATTGGGCCCCCGGGGCTGGGCAGGGCACAGAGTACTAGGAAGAATGATGCTTGGAAAGCACACTGATGAAAACCGGAAAACAAAACAAAAACCCTTGGCTGTACACGCTGGATGACTGTGGCCAACTTGCTTAAGTCCTTCTGAGCCCTAGTTTCCTAAGCCTTATATAGGGAGGCTTAAAGTGTCTTGATAGAAAGTCTGAGAAGATCAATACGGAGGGTTCTGTAAGTTGGGCAGTATGCAGCTTCTCCCCTGGGTAAAGGGTAGTTAGTTGGTACTTACATCTGCGCCATGGGGACACATTTTCAGAAATGTGTCATTAAGTCATTAGGCAATTTTGCCTTTGCACAAGTATCGCAGAATATTTACACACACCTAGATGGAACAGTCTAGTGACATAGCCTCTCCCGGTAGTACCTAGAAGCAGTTACTCTACAGAATAATGACTGTAGGCTCTTGTTACAGAATGGTAATAGCATATCTACACACATCAAAGGTTTAGTGAAAATACCAGGTGTTAAGAATCTTTGGCTCCATTGTAATATGGGACCACTGTCATTGACCAAAATGTTACTGTGTGGCCCACAATCACAGCCAGGCATGATAGTGCATGTCTATAATCCCAGCTACTCAGGAAGATTGTAGGTTTCAGGCCAGCTTGGGTCACTTAGCAAGATACTATCTTATTTTGGAGGTTGTTGTTGGCCATTGGGCTTGAACTAGGCACTGTCCTTGAGTTGTTCTTCTCCTTCTCCTTCTCCTTCTTCTTCTTCTTCTTTTGTCGGTCCTGGGGCCTGAACTCTGGGCCTAGGCGCTGTCCCTCAGCTCAAGGCTAGCGCTCTACCACTTGGGCCCCAGCGCCACTTCTGGTTTTCTGAGTGGTTTATTGGAGATAAGAGTCTCATGGACTTTCCTGCCTGGGCTGGCTTTGAACCATGATCCTCAGATCTCAGCCTTCTGAGTAGGATTACAGGCGTGAGCCACCAGCACCTGCCTCCACTCCCCCTTCCCCCATTTTTTTTTTTAAAGTTCAGTGATAGAAGACTTACCTGGCACACATAGGGCCCTGGGATCCATCCCCAGTCCTACACAACAAACAAGCATACAAGAATCATTTCACAGACACCTTTATGGCCCAGCCCCAGGAGCTGGTTGTCCCTGGTGGGCATAGCAACCTGTCCCCATTGGCAGGTGTGATCCTGCTGCGGCTGGACCGGCTTCGGCAGGCTGGCTGGGAGCAGATGTGGAAGCTGACGGCGAGACGTGTGCTCCTCTCCCTGCCCGCCACCTCTCTGGCTGACCAGGTCTGTGGGAAGCTTTGTGGGGCCCAAGGGTGGGCAGGCTAGGGATGGAGGTGTGATGGCTGTCTCTGCCCAGGACATCTTCAATGCTGTCATTAAGGAGCACCCGGGGCTGGTGCGGCCGCTGCCCTGCGTCTGGAATGTACAACTGTCTGACCACACGCTGGCTGAGCGCTGCTACTCTGAGGCCGCCGACCTCAAGGTGAGCAGGGAGGGAGTGGAGGACAGGGGTGGGCACTGTTCTCATGGCTACTCACACCCCTGGGGGTCCCAGGTGATCCACTGGAATTCCCCCAAGAAGCTGCGGGTGAAGAACAAGCATGCCGACTTCTTCCGCAACTTGTACTTGACCTTCCTGGGGTACGATGGGAAGCTGCTGCGGAGGGAGCTCTTTGGGTGTCCCAGCCAGCCCCCACCTGGGGCTGAGCAGGTGAGAGGGGTACCTTCCCTTGTTCCAAGACAGCCCTGAATCTCACTCTTCTGGGGGGGGCAACCTTAGTCATGATGTTCTGGTCCAGCCCTGGTCCTTTTCTCCTGGACCGCCCCCCTCTCCTCCCGCTCAGTTACAACAGGCTTTGGCCCAACTCGATGAGGAAGACCGCTGCTTCGAGTTCCGGCAACAGCAGCTCACTGTACACCGAGTCCACATCACCTTCCTGCCCCACCAGCCACCACCTCCCCGGCCTCGTGATGTCACGCTGGTGGCCCAGCTCTCCATGGATCGGTGAGGGTGCCAAGGACAGCCTTAGCTTGGCGTGGACGGGGCCAGGGATTCTGAAGTAGAGGGTTTTGTCGGGTAGTTTGATGCTGTGGTAGCGAGCGGCTGGTCACTAGAGTGTTTCAGCACTTAGAGACATTGGATATGGTGCAAAGAGGTTGAGCTTTTGTAGTCATTCTATTAACCTAAAATTGCCTGAGTTGCCATGGGACCCAGGATGTGTGTGTGTGTGTGTGTGTGTGTGTGTGTGCATGCACACTGATCCTTGAGCTTGAACTCAGGGCTTGGCCGTTCTCTCTGGGCTAGTGCTCTACCACTTTGAGCCACAGTTCCATTTCTGGCTTTTTGGTAATTAATTGGAGATAAGTCTCATAGAATTTCCTGCTTTGCCTGGCTTTGAACTGTCATCCTCAGATCAACCTCCTGAGTAGCTAGGATTTACAGGCATGAGCTACCAATGCCTGGCTCCAAAATAAGTCTTAATCTCTCCGGCTCCTACTTTCTCCCCACCCCACTGGGGTGGTTGTAAAAGCTGAGTGAGACTGGCTCCAAGTGCTTAAAAGGGGCTCAGTCACTTGGGGTGGGTGTGGGGGGATTGGGAAGTCTCTAGCAGATAGGTAACTTTAGGGAGGTTTTCCAGCCCTGCCGGGGCTCCATGCAAAAGGGGCAGAGCTGGGCTAACTGTCCCCCTCACCCCAGGCTGCAGATGCTGGAAGCCCTGTGCAGGCACTGGCCAGGCCCCATGAGCCTGGCCTTGTACCTGACAGATGCAGAGGCCCAGCAGTTCCTGCATTTCGTGGAGGCCTCCCCGGTGCTTTCTGCTCGGCAAGACGTGGCTTATCATGTGGTGTACCGGGATGGGCCCCTCTACCCAGTCAACCAGCTCCGAAATGTGGCCTTAGCCCAGGCCCTCACGCCTTACGTGTTCCTTAGTGACATTGACTTCCTGCCGGCCCACTCTCTCTATGACTACCTCAGGTAGGCCTGGAGGACGTGAGGGGAAAAAGATTTGGGGTGGGTGCTGTCAGGGTTTTGGGGCACCCATTGCACTCAACACTGTTGGTGAGCTACTGCTCCTTTGTGTGTGTGTGCAAGTGGTGTGCATGCCCTAGGGTTTGAACTCAGAGCTTGGGTGCTGTCCCTGAGTTTTTGTGCTCAAGCATAGCACTCATCACTTGAGCCACAGCTCCTTTTGGGGCTTTTTGGTGGTTCATTGGAGAGAAGAGTCTCACAGACTTCCCTGCCTAGGCTGGCTTTGAACCGTAACCCTCAGATCTCAGCCGCTTGACTAGCTAGGGTTACAGGTGTAAGCCACCAGTGTCCAACTGCGATTGTGCCTTTTTGGGGCTCTGTATTCTCTGCAAAATGGGAATTGTGGTATTAGATTGTGTCTCTGGGCTGTTGCAGCCCAGATGGCCAAGTCCTGCAGCTAGTCTGCCATACGTGGTGTTCACTGTGCTCTTCCTCAGGGCCTCCATCGAGCAGCTGGAGCTGGGCAGCAGGCGGAAGGCAGCTTTGGTGGTGCCTGCCTTTGAGACCCCACGTTACCGCTTCAGCTTCCCCAGTTCCAAGGCTGAGCTGCTGGACCTGCTGGACACGGGGGCCCTCTACACCTTCAGGTAGGCGAGGCTGTGGATCTGCCTGGTGGCCCTACCTTGGCTCCCACCCTGTGGGCCACTAGCCTCAGCCCGGCTTCCACCCCGCTCCTGCTGCACAGGTACCACGAGTGGCCCCGGGGCCACGCACCTACAGACTATGCCCGCTGGCGGGAAGCCCAGGCGCCGTACCGTGTGCAGTGGGCAGCTGACTATGAGCCCTACGTGGTGGTACCACGTGACTGTCCCCGCTACGACCCGCGCTTTGTGGGCTTTGGTTGGAACAAGGTGGCCCACATCATGGAGCTGGATGCCCAGGTGAGGAGGGGCCACCTTCTCGTGTCTGTTTCCAACTGAACTCTGCAGGGGATGCCCTGCCCTGTCTCTGTGTGCATTCTGCCCTTAACCATTGCCTTGGCTTTTAGGGGGGTTGTGGTCTTCCCCCCAGGCCAGCAGCACCCTCTGGCCCTACCCCTGTAGGAATATGAGCTCCTGGTGCTGCCCGAGGCCTTCACCATCCACCTGCCCCACGCTCCAAGCCTTGACCTCTCCCGCTTCCGCTCCAGCCCAGACTACCGAGCCTGTCTGCAGGCTCTCAAAGAGGAATTCCATCAGGACCTGTCCCGAAGCTATGGGGCCTCTGCCCTCAAATACCTCACTGCCCTGCAGCAGCCCCAGAGCCTGGCCTGAGCCTCCCTGGAGCCCAGGCCTCCTTGGAATGGGTTACTATGCCCTGGAGCCTCGACTCAGGCAGACCCACCCACCAACCTCCCTTCCCTATCTGCTATTTAAATTATTTAAAAGGTCTGTGGGTCAGACTGGGTGGAGCACTGTGTGGGGAGTCCTCCCCCTGCTGCTATCCTACTGCTAGGGGTTGGCCTCTCCTCCCCTTGCCCCAGCTGGTTTGGGGCTGGTGCTCCATCATCAATTGTATATCCCTTTTTCATAATTAAAGTTTTTCAAATCTCTCTTTGCACTCCTCCTGCTTTGGGGAAATCTGGGCTCTCTGGGGCCTGAGGAGATTAGTGGGGCTGAGCCATGCTCCCGTGGGAGTCAGCATGGCCTGGGTCCTCAAGGGTCACAGCCTAGATGGGCCCCCAGGGCCAAGGCTGGAACTTAGACTGTCTTGCCCATCCTCCCCAGCCCCCTACTCAACACCATGAGGCCGAGAGACTTTATTTGGCTTTATTTAGTAAAATGTTAAAATAAATAAATACAAATTGATCAGCTGCTCTGTATCCCCACCCCCACCCCCTTAAAACAAAAACCAAACAAAAACAAAAACTTTGAAGCACAAAACTCCAAATACAAGTTCTACCAAGACTGAAATCACAAAGGGCATGGACAAGAGACAGGACTGGGGTCTGGCTGCGTCTCTCCTCTGCTGGAGCCTGCTGACCTCGGTCTGCCCGTCCTGCCCTCCTGACTGCAGCTCATCCTGGGCTGAGAGCCGAGGATCTTGGAGAGAGGTGCAGGGGCCAGGGTGGCTGCTGCAGATAGAGGCCTGGAGAAAAGCTTGGGAAAGGGGTGCCAGGTGGGATGAGTGTGAACCTCCTTCTAGAGAGCGACTAAGAGTCTCACCCTGGCTGTCAGGAGGGGCGGCCCCAGCTTCCTTGCCTTCATTCCAGGTGGGGGGGAGGCAAAAGTCTTTCCAGGGGCCAGCCCAGCCTTTTTGGATAGGAACTAACTAGGGTGAGAATGGGGTTCTTGTTTCCTGCCAGGGTGCCTGGCTGAGGGTGGGTGAGGCACAGACGTTTTCACCCAGAGCCAGAGTTGTCCAGCCTCCATCTGAAGCCACCTGATCTAAGAACCTGGGCCTGGAACACATCCCCTGGCTACCACCCCATCTTAATCCCCTAGAAGCTTCCTGCTCCGGGGGGGATTGGAGGGGGGAGAAATAAGTTTCCTAAATGCAACCCTTGAAGAAAGTAAGAAGGACCACACCCAAGCAAGGCCTGAAGGGAAAGACTGCTTCTGTGTGTGCGGCTGGAATGGTCCCAGGGGTGGAGAAGGAGCAGCTCGTGCAGAGATGGGCAAGCCAGAAGTAGTCACCCTGGGCAGCACTGGGTGTGTGTGCACCCTTCTTGCTGCCCGCTGGGCTTCAGCCAATAAACAAGGAGACAGAGGCAGCCCTGCAGGGAAACTGGACACTGGCGGGTCCAGCTTGACAACCCTATTGCAAGAGCTAAAGGCAGGCCCCACACAGGTCAGGCCAGCCAGGGACTGTCCCGGGCCGGCAGGCTTGCCCTGAAGGGCCTAACTAGGAAGGAAGAAATGAGAAGTGGATGCTGTTCAGCCAGGTGAGACAGGACCCAGCAGGCTCCAGCAAAGAAAACACACCTGCAGGCCAAGAATGCAAAAGGTGGGGGATGACAGCCAGTGACCTCACTGCCTCTAGGGATCAGTCCTGATCTGGGACTGATAAGGAAACTCCAAGTCCAGGCTCCTGTCTTAGAAGGGCTTCTAAGCCAGCTGTGGTCACCTAGGTGGCCATTAGAGCAGCTGAATCCTGGGCAGGAGAAGGCAAGGAAGTGGAGGCAGCTCGGGTGGGGTGAGGGGGAGGGGTGTGTGCCAGGTACCTGCAAGTCTGGGTGGGCAATGAGGAGCTCTTCTCAACAGGCCAGTTTCTGCTGTGGAATTTGAGGCAGGAATGGAGGCCAGGGCAGACTGCATTCTCTACTCCACCCCAGCTGACTCAGAGCAGCTCCTGCCTGACCTTTAGGAAGAACATACGTGACACTGTGCAAAGCAGCAGGCGGGAAAACTGATCAACTTCTTGTAGCTCTTTTGGGGCAAAGGCTTCTATGAATGATGGCTTCCCAACATCCTTTTAGCAAAGACAGGTATTGTGTGGCAAGACCCAGCCTATAGGCCCAGACAAGTCCAACGGGAGAGCTGAAACAGGGCGTCCAGCCTGATGCGGGTCTCTGATCCTCTGCCAACCATTCCTCCAACGAGTCCAGGCATCTCCAAGCTTCCTGACTAGACACAGCGCCTTGGTTTCTCAACAAGAACAGGGGGCTCACTTCTAGTTTCGTGCTCACTTCTAGCCAACCTGCAGCCGGGGCCTCACTCCAAGGCCGGTGCTTCCGCTGACATGCTGGGAAGATGGGTGAGCCGGCTGGTATACTCTAAGCATCTCTTCTCTGTGGCACTTCCTATCAGGATCTATCCCTGCCCCTCTGAGCCTAACTGGGTAAAGGAGACAGATACTAAGGGGCCTTTCTTGATTCTGAGGAACCCTGGCCGATACAATGCTGGGGGAGGAGGGGCAGCGGGAGAAGGGGAGGCTCGGGAGAGATGCTGCTACCGGCCAGGGTGCAGAGCCCTGACCACTGCCATTCGGTCAGGGATGTGGAAGGGATCATGGTCTTCCACAAGAGCATGCATCTCGCCCATCCACTTCCTACACAGCACGACTGGAGCGATGAGAGATGAGCAGACTCTAGTTTTCTAAGAAGGAAGGAAAGGCTGCAACAGGCCCAGCCAAGGCAAGCACAGGGATTCTAGCCCAGGGTCACACAGGAAGCGTGTGGGTGGGCGACGGAGCGGGTGAGTTCCCACTCTGATGCCTGGAGCCAGCAGGCAGAGAAAGTGGCTAGAGCTCTGGACCTCTCTCTTCAAAGGCAAGGCAGACCAGAAAGCCGTGCAGTCCCTCAGCGACACTGCATCCACAAGATAGCTCTCTCCTTTGTTCCCATACCCTCCTCAAAGCCGGAGCGCCTACACGGCCGAGCCTGGAGCCTCACGGGCCGGCCCCTTAGAGGCGCCCCAGGAACTCATAATGCTGGTGGCTGAAAGACCGAGAGCAGCACCAAAGGAAAAGGATCTTGTATAGGCACCAGCCTTTGCTCTAGCAACATCTGACGAGACCACGCAGGCCCTGACACCATGCATACTTCATCTGACCTTCAAATGCAGGAGATGAGATCCCTGTGCCAAGCAGACCGCGCAGTCTGTTCCGAGAAGGAGAGGCAGGGAGAGCCCCAGCCCCTGCTGAAGACCGGCCCACCGGTCTAGAGACACAAACACAGCAAAACGGTATAATGTTCAGCAGGTTCTGTGCTAAAAAATTATAACTACACGGCATTTTCTCCAGTTCTGACACCTTTTTAATAGAAATCACTGTTTTTAGGAAACAAATAGCACTTTCGTAATTTTTTTTTGTACAATGTTTCTTACCTTGATCTTAATTTAAGTAACACTAGGAAGACCTCAATATCTTTTATTTTCCTTTTTAATTAAAAAAAAAGTAGTTGTTTTTTTTTTCCCCAGATACAAAGATTTTTTTTTTTTTTTTTTGCCCTTGCATAAAAAAACAGTGCCCGGACGATGACACAAGGACTCACAAAGACTCACTGACCGCACTGACACTATGACTCCTATTCTACCATGCAAGGCCTCGACTACCCTTAATTGGACTGTCAGCCTGAAAAACAGCTTTTCTATTCCTTATTTTAGTTTTTGTTACCCAAAAAAGTAAAATAAACAACAAAATAAAACTTTGCTTAAAGAAAACAAGAACAAAAACAAAAAGTAAAAAAAAAAAAAAAGAGGAAAAGAAATGTCTCCATTCAATTCACACACACCTGGGTCGTGCTGCGTCACTCAGCATCTTCTCTTCTTATAAATATAGAAAAGGGATGGATGTTTTCAAGTAAAATCACTGATCCGCCTTTTTCCCTTCCTGGATCATCACACGCGCACACTCCTTCCCTGCCTTGGCCGCGCCAGCAGGGCCTGGCTTGCCTCCTTTTCTTCGAAGAGGGAGGAACAGCAATCACCGCAGATGAGCGATACACCAGGCAGGGTCAAGGGGCTGCCTGAGGCCTCCGCAGGGAAGTGGCACCCGAGGTGGGGGCAGAGCTAGGAGAAGGAAGCTAGTGGCTGCTCTAGGTGTCCACCTCTCCTGGCCCTCGGCCCCCTCCGGATGAAATGAAATACTGCTATGTGATACACTCTCCCATCCCTGGCTCCCTCCCGGCCCGCCCCTTCCCTCCAGTGGGCACTGGGGTTGGTTAAATCTCGATTTCCTTTTTTGGTTTTATAGAAGTGAAAGTTTAGAGACAGGAAAGCCCACACACTCTTTGGACTTGTCTTCTCTTCCTAAACAAATAAGGATCTGAAACCTGCTCTCCTCCCTCGGCCCGTCCCTGCTCCCCACCAAACCAAACAAAAACAAACCCTTCGTGGCTGTGGAGGCTGCTGCAGGCACACACTGGTGTATAATAGAGAGAGTAAATATATTATTTCACTTGGCATGGTGCTGGCAAAGAACCTCCAGCTGGCACTATTTCATGTAACATGGTCCAATCTTTGCATGTACACACAGAATAAGAAGGATCAATTGGCAAACTCGGGTGCCACCTGGCACAAGCATCTTCTCTCTCTCTCTGGAACCAAAGAACCAAAAGAATTCTGTACTTTTCCAGAAGAAATCCAGCTTTGATTTTCTAGAGTCTTCAGCGTTTTGCTCTCCTCGCCGCCGGGATCCCGTGGCTTCTCTCCAGGGCTCTGTTATTTAGTCTCTTCCCCCTGGTTACAGTTTGCTGTGCAGCTCTGGGAGGAGGGGGAAGGGGTCGGCGTGGAGGAGGCGGCACTGGCAGGGGGAATGCAGTCTGGGCCATTGGAGATGGCCCCTAGGGTGGCCTCAGAGTCTACTGGTTTGGAGAGGTCAATGCCGTGGATGAGACGAATCAGCTGTTTTACCTTCTCCAGGGAACTACGCATCTCTTTCTGCCGGGCTAGGATGGTGTTCTTCATTTCCATGCATTTCTGTAGCAAATGAGAAGGCAGGGACTCTGACTCTTACCAGCCCCAGAGGGGACAAGCCATGCCCTAAAAAGTCCCTGTGGGCGGCCCCTAGAATCTATCCTGTTCTGCCCAGAGCAGGTGGCTACTCCCCAAGGAAAGAGGCAAGGGAAGTGGGTGAATGGGCTCAAAGCCTATCCTACTGTACACCAGCACTTAAAAACACATTTGCATCACCACCATTAATGCTACGGAATAAAGCCATTAAACAACAACAAAAAGGTTCCCATAGCCGGTGCCGGTGGCTCAAACTTATAATCCTAGCTACTCAGGAGCCTGAGATCTGAGGATCACGGTTCAAAGCCAGCCCGGGCAGGAAAGTCCATGAGACTCTTATCTCCGATTAACCACCAGAAAACTGGAAGTGGTGCTGTGGCTCAAGTGGTAGAGCGCTCACTTTGAGCTGAAGGGCGCAGGGACAGGGCCCAGGCTAGAGTTCAAGCCTCAAGACTGACCTCACTGACTGCCTAGCTTGGGCAGGTGCTGGGATGGCTCCCCCAGGCCACCAGTGGCCTTAGGATAGGCCGAGCTCTGCAGGGCAGAGCACAGGTCAGTAATACTTAGGCTCCACCAGTGGCCTTCAGGATAGGCCGAGCTCTGCAGGGCAGAGCACAGGTCAGTAATACTTAGGCTCCACTTAAGGGTTTGCCAAAGATCACTTGCTCAGTGAGAGTTTAAGATGCAAGACCTGGGGGCCAGTAATGTTCAGAGACCCCGAGGTAGCCCAAGGCCAAAGGACCGTGGCCAACAGAAGCTGTCTTGCTTGATCACTGACATGCCATCTTTACTCTTTCGCTCTCAGCCTCCCACAGCTCCTGGTTTCTGCTTTAGACAGAGAAGACACGTTTAGCCTACCTGTCACAGCAGTGTTATGGGGGAAAGTAGCTGAGTAGACAGCTTCACTGCCCAGTCTATGTACCACCTGCTGTGTGTAAAAGTTACCATACCCCCACAACGGTGACCAAATGAACAGAAAAGAAACCTGTCCCCCTGCTCCAAATACAACCATCCTTTCCGCGTGGACAGGCAGGGCTGGGCAGCCCTACTGTTATTTCTAGAAACCCTTCTTCCTCACACTGGTCAGGAAAATAGGGACCTGCAATGAGCAATTAGAAGAATGCAGCAAAGAAGGGAAAGACCTTCAAGCTCAGGTGATAAGAGTCCCACAAGGGGCCTGGCCTTGTCTGCCCAGCCTCAGATGAGGCTCCACATTCATCTCCAACACTATCAGGAGTGGTCCTACCCTGCTGCAGTTGCTACTTCATCTCTTCAGCCTGGAGACTAGGAATCTGCTAGATTAAAGCCAGGAAGATGCCCAGAACCTGGGTAAGGGACCTGGCCACTGGACTTGAGAGCTGTCCTCTAACTGGAAGGGAACAGCACCTGCTCCAGTCAGTGAGGCTAATAAACACAGTGACCATAAATGGCCCTGGGTCCCCATGTGTGCTGTTTGGGATGTGGAAGGGGCCTGGGGCCACCGCTATAGGCTGGAGGTGGGACACTTACACTTATAGAGTTGCTGAGCTGTTTCACCTTCTGCTCTAATTGTTCCCGTTCCTGTTTTAAATCTGAACTCCATTTAAGTAACTTCTGTTTCTCTTCTTCTTTTGCTAGGGAAAAGAAAAGAAAAAAAGGAACAATCCTTAACAACGAATTCTTTGAAAAGGCCACTGTGCTCCGAATGTTTGCCAAAGATATGTTTCCCAAACCACCCTGAATCATGACGCCATGGCACAGAACCTGTACCCCCAACGCTGCCTTGTTCTATGCCTACGTGCACAGAGACTCACTATGGCTTGGGCCCATGATCACATACATTCAGCACCACACTTCCCAGTTTTCTTTCCAAAGAAGGTGGTACATAAACTGACCATTCAATGGAAGTCTTTCATTTTTAGCCTTAATTTCCTCTTGGAAGGAGAAATATTGCCTTCCAATTATTTTCTTTAAGAAGGTGGGCCTTACTAAAAAATGGATGTGGGTAATCCTTTACCTGCTTTGTAGGCAATATAGGAATGGACGATTGCTAAAGTTCCAGGCCATGGGATTGCTTCTTCCTTCTTCAGCATCTGAAAAGAATTTTAGGACTTTAACTTGAGAAGGAGGTTCCGACACACATCCTCCAGGTAACAGCAAGCACCAATGACAAAATCCAGGAAGGGTTTCTGGGAGGCAGTATGGCAAGACCCTGTGCTACAGCTTCTGGACTACAAGGATAGGTGTGGACAGTGAAGTTCAGAGGCAGAAAGAGCCAAGGCTGGGCTGGTGAGCTGGGTGAGCATTCCTGTCTTCTCATAGAAGGCGGATGCCCAACTACCCTCAGCCCGAGAGCTACCTGCCAGCACAACGGCTGCCTGTAGGCAGTTCTGTCCATGACCTGACAAAGCTGCCCATCTCATTGTAGCCCTATGCTACCTTCTTCTCCAAGGAATTCGAGCATCAGTTCCAAATCCCAAAGTATAATCTCAGTCCTGTGTAGAAGTTTTTTGGAGGATCCCAAAGCAGCACAATCAGGAAGAGAGTAGAAAGGAGGGCATCTTTCTACACAGGAGACAGTAGGAATGAAGATGACCAAGGCTCAAAACGAGACCCAGCCTGGTCTATGTGCACACCTGTAATTCCAGTGCTCAGGAGGCTGAGGCAGGAGGATTTTGAGTTTGAGGTCAGCCTAGGTACACAAAAAAGCCTTTATCTCGAAAAGCCAACAGCTAGGGATGTAGCTCAAAGGTAGAGTGCTCGTCTAGCATATGCAAAGCCCTGTGTTTGGTCCCCAGCACTGCAAGAATAAATAAAGGGGGAAACTAGAATTCTTCCAAATCAGGGATTTTTTTTTTTTTAATGGAGCTGAGCTGGATCCCACTGTTAGCCAGGATACAGGGCTTATTGAATGTACTTCCTCACTTTCTTCTTAAAGACTCGAGGGGATGAGGGTGGGGTGGGAGATTGGAAGGGATGGGAAGGGGAAACAAAGGAGGAGGTAACAATGCTTGATAAGAAACGTACTCATTATCTTGCCCATGTAATTGTAACCCCTCTATATGGTATTTTCACAATAAAAAACAAAAAAGACTCAGGGACCGGGAAGATGGCTCAGTGGTAGAATGCTTGCCTTGAATGCAAGAGGCCCTGGCTTCGATTCCTCAGGACCACATAAACAGAAAAATAAAAATTAAAGTTTTAAAAAAAAAAAAGCCAGGCGCTGGTGGCTCACACCTATAATTCTAGCTACTCAGGAAGCTGAGATCTGAGGATCTCGGTTCAAAGCCAGCCCGGGCAGGAAAGTCCATGAGACTCTTATCTCCAATAAACCACTAGAAAACCAGAGGTGGCGCTGTGGCTCAAGCGGTAGAGCGCTAGCCTTGAGCTGAAGAACTGAGGGACAGCGCCCAAGCCCAGAGTTCAAGCCCCACAACCGACCAAAAAAAAAAAAAAAAAAAGACTGGAGACAGCTTATAATCAAACCTTTTATGAAGATGTAAAGATGTATGAATATCTAAGGAAATGAGACCATGAACCAAACAGAGAAGAGGGAGGAAGTTAAGACAATTACTAATACCCATGGCCTTTGAAGTCTGTGAAATACAGACTCAGCATTTTACTGTTAGTTTTCTGAGTCTGATGACAATAGCGTTTAAAATGGTGGTTATTTGAATTAATTAGCTGGATACATTCTTTTAAGGAATTTATTCCCACAGAATAGTTTCAAAATCATATCCTGAACTTGGTGTAATGCTTCATGCCTGTAATCTCCTCAAGGAGATTGAGGCAGGAAGATTCCAAGTTCAAGGCCAGCCTGGGCCAAATCATGAGCTCTAGGTTAATCTGGCAATGTAAGAAGTCCCTGTCTCAAAAAACCCAAAACCAAAATAAAAGGACACTCAGATAATGCGTTTGACCCTTCTTATAGAACGAGGCAGAATGAACTTGTGGGTCTGGACTTTTAGGAAGAGGGTCAGTTGTATGAGATATAGGGAAGTAGTCTGGATATTGCCACCTGGGTCAGTAGGATGGGGAGCTTGTGAGGGAATGAAGTCTGCGTGCCCTCAGGCCATGCTGTGGACAGGATCCCAGAACTAGACATGGGGGAGGGAATTTCTATGGACTCCCCTCCCCATCTGGCTCAGCCACAGTACCTGGTCCTGACATCTGGGACAGATCCACATGCCCTTGGGAATTGTTTTGAGAGGTGGGTCTAAGCAGTCCAGATGATACACACGGGAACACGTGTCACACATCAACAACTGGCCGCTTTTTCTGCAAACGCTGCAAAAATCCTCATGGATATCACCCTATGAAATTGAGATGAAAGGTAAGAAAAAGGATAAAGGTAAAATGTGTAGTGTTAACATGCTTTCGGGGAAGCACAGTGACTTGGTCTTTCAACACATTAAGTGTTTAAGCAATGCAGGAACTGTCAATGGCACAAGCCCGGCCCTGTTCCATACAGCTGAAGATCCCCCGTGGGGAGCTTTAAATGCTTTAAAACTCTGCAGTTGCCCAGTTTAGCTGTGTATGTGATAGTTTTGGTAAGAGTCCAACCAACAGACAGAACTTTTACACGCAAGAAAATCCATTCATTAGAGCATCTCAACATTTGTGATTACAAACACTCCTCATTTAGCCACTATTTGTTGAGGGAAGGGGACACTGAGTAGAGAAAGACAGATAAGAAAAGATTTACTAAATTCCTTGTTCATTCAGGGGGAAATAAAGCCAAATGGGAAAAGACTGAGTCAGGAGCGAATCTGATTCGCACAAGCTTTCTAACATGAAGGATTTAAGAAGCCAAAGCAACAGCTGACAATGTCCTCTTAAAACCAGCATTTGGCATTTTCTGTTCAATGGACCATTCCATTCTAGAAGGCTTTATTCCTCCCTATAAAATATTCCACCAGATGGAAGATGACAAGCCGCCCTGGGACACTCTGCCACCCCCTTTGTGACAGTTTTAGCACTCAGGTAAGACTGCCGGAGAAGCAAGCAGATCTTTTTTAAAATTTGGAGAGGAGAACACAGGGGAAAAAAGTTCTTAAAGAGGTACCAGGCCAGATGCCAGGACATCAGGAGGGGAAGACGGAAGGGACAAGCCAGGTGTTGCTTTAGGTTTCCTAGGTTTTCTGCTGGAAGGCCTGACCGAGAACCTCTGTACAGAAGTAGTGAAAGAAGGCATCTCTCCACCACCACATATGCAAGAACATATCTTCTGCACATGTAATCTCTCTCTGATGGAAAGAATATATGCTCTAATTCACTACGCTATCTGGCAGCTAAGAAAAAAAAGGTTCTAAGGTCCATCATAGTTTGGACAGATTTTAATCTTTTTTTTTTTTAAATAAGAAACTGCTACCTCTGGACAGTAAAAAAGATGCTTGGTACATGTGAAAATCTATTAGGCAAGAGTGTAATGGTTCAAGTCCCTGAAAGGGGTCTCACCTCTGGATCAACAGGGATTTCCTCTATTCTAAAATTAGGTTGAGAGGAGTTTTTCTCCTCTGGAGGACTAGAACCTAAGCCCCAAGTTTATACATGATGCAAGGCTTTAGGACTGTCTTAGAGGAGCTGCAGATAAGGCTCTGAGAAGTGAAGTGAGCACTGCTTGGGGTGGGGCGTTCATGTGCTTTTGCTCTTGATGAGAAGAACAGCAAGAAGCAGAGGCAGAGAGCGGAGAAGAGTTTCTACAGGACATTTGAAAGTTCCTTGTCCTGTTTACATAAACACAGCTCCTGTCAGGATTTTTTGTTGTTGTTGGTGGTCATGGGGTTTGAACTCTGGGCCTGAACGCTGTCCCTCAGCTCTTCAGCTCAAGGAGAGCACTCTACCACTTAAGCCACAGTGCCACTTCTGGTTTTCTGGTGGTTATCTGGAGATAGGAGTCTCAAGGACTTTCCTGCCTGGGCTGGCTTTGAACTGCGATCCTCAGATCTCAGCCGCCTGAACCACCGGCACCTGGCTTTATTGTAATTTTTAAAACTTTTGTTCCCCCTGGTCCTGGGGCTTGGGCCTGGACTCTGTCCCTGTGCTTCTTTTGCTCAAGGATAGGACTCTTATCTCTTGAGCCAGAGCACCACTTCTGGCTTTTTTCTGAGTAGTTTATTGGAGATAACAGTCTCACAGACTTTCCTGCCCCGGCTGGCTTTGAACTGCAATCCTCAGATCTCAACCTCCTGAGTAGCTGGGATTACAGGTGTGAGCCATCAGCTAACCTCTGAAACAACTACAGAATCATAGAAAGTTGCAGAAATAGTATACTGTTAACAATTTAAAACCAAAGAATACATCAATTCATATTCCATTAGCTGTTAAAAAATACATAATGCACTATCTGGAAAACTCCACTAGCCTATACTAAGAGATTCAGCTTGGAAATGGCAAATGATATTTTGGAACAATAATAAAGACAATAATTTTGATTTTATAGCCCCCTGAAAGATTCTTCGGGACCACATTTTGAGAACCGATGCCCAATCAAAATGAATATAAAATGCCAAACCATTTCATCCCTATACAGTACATTCTAAAGAGAGTGAAGCAAGTCTTGTGAAGGCTCTATCCAGGTCAAAAGGCTTAGCTTTGATGACAGATCAAATTATTATCATAATGAAATGGTAAGCTAGGAGAAGGCTGGGCCCAAGGTTCCTTGCTAGGAAGTGAGGATGGACTTTCAGGACCCATGCTGGCTCTGTCAACGGCAACTTCATTGCGTGCTAAAAATTTTTATAATTATGTCAACAGAGCTTCCCTTCTCATAAAAATGATGAGAGCAGCAACAAGGTACATCCTGAGGATTTGTGTCTGGCTAGGTCTTGTATTACCAAGTCCTGAGAGATGGTTATTGATCCCCAGGAAATGCTTGGCTCTCCACTGTTATTGTTTAATTAATGTTGTTGAGGCTTATGCTACCCGGCAGCAAACATATAGAACTCTTGTGTTTTGATTTTAATCACTGCGGCTGTTAGGATACTGCAGAAGTAGAAGTCAATTATCTTAAAAAAAAATAATCTATTCAACTGGGCTTAACTTAGGAAGTTCTGAACCTGTTTCCAAAAGGTTTGCATTTTAAGATGAAACCTGGCAGAAACTTTTATTTTGTGATTTGGTCTGAGTGGATCCTTTTTAGGTCTAATTTCTAAAAAAAAAAAGCTCAGATCCTCTCCAGCAGAAAACACACACTAAAGCAACATAGTTTAAGAGAGACTCGAAGGCAGAACTACAAAGTCACCTATCTGACCCAACCTAGCCCTTGTGCATGACTCATGGAGAGCTCTACAAAGATGCCAATGAGCTAGAGACCAGTCTAAGCAATCCTCAGACTGGGGAAAGACGACACAGGTAAGGGTCAGAAAACAAGGTTTTTGACAAGGACTTCTGATACTCATTAACTGGGTGTTCAGAAAACCTGTATCACGAACATGACTTATGGCGAGACAGGAAAGTTGGATGGAATGCTCAACCTTTAGAGCCAGGATGAGTTGGTGGCTACCATCTGTGTACAAAGAAGAGAACCTCCTATGACCAGGTCTCCAAAGGTAACACTTTCTTTGCTGTCTCTGGAATGTGAATTCAGAACATTCACACGGTGCTCTCTTAGAGAACTACTAACAATGAAAACTTTCAAGTTCGAGGAGGCTTTTCCTTGAAGGTTAACAACAGCCTCTGTAATTCACAGAAGAACTGGGACATGTGCCAAATGAAATCCTTCGTTTCTCTTCTCAGACTTGTTCCTCTCATAAATGGCAACTCTGTGTGTGTGTGTGTGCGCGCGCACACGCGCGCACGCACGTGTGCACATGTGCTGGGGCTGGAGATTTGAACTCAGAGCCTGGGCACTATCCCTTAGCTTTTTTGCTCAAGGCTAGTGCTCTACCACTTGAGCCACAGCTCTAATTCTAGCTTTTTGGTGGCTAATTGGTGATGAGAGTCTCATAGACTTTCCTGCCTGGGCTGGCTTTGAACTGTGACCCTCAGATCTCAGCCTCCTGAGTAGGATTACAGGTATGGGTCACTGGTATTTGGCTATAGTAAGTGGTTTTAGTGCTTTTAGTAGTTTACGCCATAAGCTTTGGATTTATTTAGGACTGTTTATCTCACGCCCCATATTAAGATCTGCTGGCCTTCCAGTTATATGTGGACCTGATTGCTTTTCTCCATCTCAACCTTTACCACCTCATTAGGTATGGCCACTTGCAGTAGCCTCCTAACTGGCCTCTCTGTTCCCATTCCCCCATCCCTGCAGGCCTTCTGCCCACATTTCAGACACAGTGCTCCTTTCAAAATCAAGTTTGGGTCCACAAACACCTTAAAATTGTCATGTAGACAAGAAACACCAAAGGAGGGAAAAATTACATCACAGTCTGGAGTGAAACTAGTGTTTAACTCTCTATCCAGACTCAAAGCTGTTCCCATCCATAGGGAACTTAGACCTTTAAGGGTGAAAACAACTTGATGGCAATGATCTCAAGGGAGAAAGTTAGTATCACCAAGGACGGAAGACTGACAGCGTGTGCTGAGAAGGCCCATCATCACTGTGCAGTGCTTCCAAAACCTGTGCTTCAGACTGTTCTCTGTGGAGAGTCATAGTCCACATGGAGAAGCACTCTACAGAGCAACTAGCCGCCCTTGAAAAGTGCCAATGTGGTGAAAGACAAGAAGACTGTTTCAGAATCTAGGAGTCTAACAGATAATACTATTACAGTGAGTGGACTGCATCTGCAGCAGGAAAACACGTGGCACGGAGGCCATGGTAGACAAATGGAGAATCTAAATCTGCACTGGATATAATATTCTAAGATCTTGTCAATGTTAAATACCCTCTATTTGATAAATACATAGTGGCAAAATAACAGAATATTTTTATTCTTACATTCTCACAAATGTTTTGGGGTAAAGATTCATAAAGTGTACAACTTCTTTACTAGCCCATCACAAAAAGTAAGTGTGTGTGTGTGTGTGTGTGTGTGTGTGTGTGTGTGTGTGTGTAGGTGAGAAGTAAATATGGCAAAGCTAGGTAAAGGGTATATATTTGTTCATTATATACCATTATTACAATTTTTCTGTAGATTAAAAAAATAAAAATTAAATACATTTTTTTGGTGGGGGGGCATTACTAAACCCTTTGGTGGTCTCCCATTTTGTTTCCAATAAAAGCTACAAGCCCTGCATAAGCAGCCCTAGAACCTCTGAAATCTTACCTCCCACTGCTCTGGTCCACTTGCTTTGCTACTATCCTGGCCTTTGTGCTATTCTTTCACCATTCCACACCCACACTCACATCGGGGTTTCTGCACCGCTGTTCCTTCCTTCAAAGACAGCAAGCTCCTGTCCTTTGATATGTATTTGTCAGTACTGGGGCTTGAACTCAGGACTTCATGCTCTCACTCAGCTTTTTTTGTTCAAGGCTGGCATCTACCACTTGAGCCACAGCACCACTTCTGGCTTTTTGGTGGCTAATTGGAGATAAGAATCTTAGGGGCTTTCTGCCTGGGTTGGCTTTGAACAGTGATCCTCAGATCTCAACCTATAAGCAACCTCATATTTTCATGCCTTATCTGTTCCAATTGTTTTCACAGTGAACAAGCAATATAATCACTGCTTGGCAGATTACATATCCACAGAATATGAGGTTCTTGAAGGCTAAGGATTGGTTTTGCTCCTTCCCGTGTCTCTAGTCTCAATAACCATTCTGGCGGAATAGCACTCAATATCTGCTGAGTGAACTGAATGCCTTGTAAATGCTCATTTAACAGATCAGAGAATGAGTTCACATGCTTACACGTTCTGGGTAGAGAACTAGTAAGCATCTGACACTTTTAGGAAGCTGTTTTTGATTAACTCTGCTAAATAAAGTTGCTCTACAGAACATTTTGCAGTTCTGGGATTGTACGTAAAGCAACAAACAAGGGCTGCTAGGGGAACATGCTATGTTCATGTCCCCGACCTTAACACACTGATTAGAGACACCTCTCAATCTCGTGAGGTGCTTTCCCACTCTGTCTCTTCGCAGAACTCATCTACAGCAAATCAGACTCAGGCACGGACAACCCTGGGCTCTGGGAGTTACAGTGCCGTGACTCTTCCGGACATGGCAGTCCTTCTCCCAGGAGAAGGCTATGTGGTGTGGCATGTGGGGCTAGCTGCTGTTCTAGTTCTAGTCAAGAAGGTGCAGGCTGGCAGGGAGACAATATAGGACAACGGTTTTCCCAATGCGAGCTCTCAGAAAAGAGAGCGGCTTCCCCCAGTTACTTACGTCTGTGGAGGTGGGGCTGGGCAGGGACACAGGCTGCACAGGTGCAGGGAAAGTGAATGTGGCCTCTGTCTTTTCATTTTCAGGGGAGTCGGGATGACTGGATGGGGGGGATGTTGGGGTAAGGGCTCCAAACCCCAGCACTGCATTGTATTTTGGAGGACGACCTATATACCAAGAAAAGGGAACAAAAGGGAAAAAAGGGGAGGGAAAGAAAAGGGGAAAACGATCTTACATACCTTTGGCCAGTGTTCCTCATTGGCTAGCATGGAAAAGGAAGTGAGGTAGCAGACAGAAAGTTAATACACAGTCCCAAAGGGAGGAACAGAGCAAAGATTTAAATGTCATTAGAAACAACTACACGAGTCCCAAAAGAAGGAGGAGAAGAGAGCCTCGGAGAGGGACAGAACATGCAGGCTGATGACAAGGACCTCACTATGGGCAGACTGTGCTACTGTTCCTGGACTATTATGACTTGAGATTTCTAGTGGAAGAATCAAGATGTCAAAGCCCAAATGGGAGCCAAAACCAGAACATAATTTATTTTGTCCATGCCTTTTGTTTATTGTTTACTCGGCAATTATCATTCTTACAATAATATTAAAGAGTCTCAGTTTCCTACAAATGAGTACATTGAACATTTCTGTTTTTCTATTTCTCTCCTGTCTGCATTCTGGTCCTTCTAACTGCTGGTTAGTGTAGAAGAAGGCAAAGTGAGGAGGCAAAACTCAAGTTAGTTATTCTCATCCCTTGTTATTACAGGCATTGAGAGAGAGGCTCTGCAGTACTAGAATGTAAGACTAACGGGGAGGGGGGCAGGATGGGGGAGGGGGATGGGGTTCCTGGCTAACAATGAATTTAAGCATTTCTAGCTTCGATACTATTTCCAATGGTTTGAGAGCTATCTCTCTGCTCTGAGACATGAATATCCTAGTAAACAACATGACTGAGAACTGGGGCTGTCCTAAAGTCTCAGCAAAGGCCCTGTCATGAGCCTTCTTGACTGAGAGGCCTGACTGAGACAAAACACTTTCAATCAAACCTCATCTACAAGCAATCTATAAATGAGCCCCAGAAGTCCAGAAAATCTAGGGAAGCCACTTTTACCACACATCTTAGACAGGGTCCTGGCCTTTTTTTTTTTTTTTTTTTTGTCAGGCTTGAACTCTGGGCCTGGGTGCTGTACCTGAGCTCTTCAGATCAAGGCTAGCACCCTACCACTTTAGCCACTACACCACTTCCGGCTTTCTGGTAGTTAATTGGAAATAAGAGTCTCATAGACTTTCCTGCCTGGTGGGCTTTGAACCGTGATCCTCAGATCTCAGCCTCCCTGAGTAGCTAGGATTACCAGCATGAGCCATCGGTGCCAAGCTGGGGTTCTAGTCTTCTAAGAGTCAGGGTCACAGTTTCTAAATTGTGAGTGATCGTAAGTACAAGCCCAGTGCACAAGGGTGAGGGGCGAGCAGAGAGATCGCAAACTGCCTACAAGCCTTGGTGAATGGTGTATGGGAATCATGACTTTGTCAATGGTTATAGGCAATATTAGGATCATGCGCATGAGTCATGATTTTGTCAGGACAGGAATATTGCCTGTGTTAAACTGGCACTGTCTGTAGTACAAAGGTAGGTCTTACTGGTTTGTCTTTTTTTTTTTTTTTTTTTTGATTGGTTGCGGGGCTTGAACTCTGGGCCTGGGTACTGCCCTCAGCTCTTCAGCTCAAGGCTAGTGCTCTACCACTTGAGCCACATGCCACTTCCAGTTTTCTGAGTGGTTTATTGGAGATGAGTCTCATGGACTTCCCTGCCCGAGCTGGTTTTGAACCGTGATCCTCAGATCTCAGCCTCCCGAGTAGCTAGGATTACAGGTGTGAGCTACTGGCGCCTGGCTGGTTTGTCTTTTGTAGGGAGTTCAGTGCTGGGGTGGGGTGGGGTGGGATAAAGCCCAGTGCTCTTCATTTAGCTAAAGGAGGTATATCCTAGGCATCGTAGATGCAAGCTTTTAGCTTCGACCTTGGTGAGAGATACCAAGGTCTTTCTGGCTCATATAACCATGCCTTAGTAGATACTGCCCACTAGAAGGCCAATTATTTGTGGCCTCTGGCCAAGGGTTTCCTATCTGAGAACTGCCCCAGCAGCCTCTAAAAAACATCTGAGCTCAAAACAACAAAAATAATTTATAGCACTGTTTATTGTGGTCCAGGAATCAAAGTAAAGCAGTAACTTAGAGTTTACTGTCTAAACTGTTTTGGCTACTTGAAGGCTAGAACGGATGAAACATTAGAATGGGTCACTAAGATGGCTAGGTTATTTCTTTTGGGAGGGGCAGGGGCAGTTATAGTCCTGTCTAAAGCAGACACAATTGTCAGGGTGACCTCCTACACTTCTAATAGCACTGGGATTGGATGTGCATACACACATTAGGCCACTTACTCAGCAACCTTTCTAGCCTGGACCTATAATTCAGGCACACATTATCACATGGAAAAACAGACCTTGGGATGTGTTTTTGACATCAAGGAACCATTTCAATACCTTGTTTATGAGCTCAAATCCCATTAAGACCAACTTAGACTTGCACAGTGAGAGATACTACTCCTGTTTTTTTCTGCCCTAAGATTAAGGTGGAATGCCCAGGAAGGTCTGGAAGATGGGAGCAGAGCTCTTCAGCAGTAGGAGTTCCTGCTTTGGGGAGCCGTTTTCACTGAGCCCTATTCTGCCTTAGCTGGTGATATGCTCTTATCACAGATCTTAAGTTCTCTTCTTCCTGGAAAATGTGCAGCTCACAGAAACTTGGTCATGTTTTAGCCTCAGTGGCTGAGACACTATTAGGAACACCCTGGCAAAGCAGTGGTCTGTCTGCTGCTACATGATGCTAAATCCTTCCTTCCAGCCAGCGATCTGCTCACTGAACTATCCTGGATGGCCTGGTGGGTTTGGGGCTGAAATGCTGTGCTAAGCCATCTCCCTGAACCAGCTCAGCCAGGAACTAGGAAAACCAGCTTTTGATTCTTCATTCACAGCCTTAGTAAGAAAACTCTCTCTTTCTTTCTCATTCTTTCTCTCTCTCCCTCATTCTCTCTTTCTTTCTCTCTCTCTCCCTCCCTCTCTCTCTCACAATTCCCTATTTCCATAGAGCTACAACAAAACTATTTTCAAAAGATAGAGAAGCCAGATCCTAGTGTGATGGGAGGAGGGGAGGAAAGGAAACCCAACACAAAAGCAATAGCAAGGCAGAGATTTAAAAAAAAACAAACAACAACAAAAACAAAAACACAAAAATAATCAAACAAAAAAAGAAAGGAAAAGACACTCACCTCTCTTCCGGGTCCCAGGATGCATTGTGCTGTTTAGGTATGTGACTGCGCTCTTCTTACGCTTTGAGGGTTGAAGAAGGAAAGGGGGCTGGTTGAACATCAGGGTTATCACTAACACTGGCACAAGATACCTGACTCATGCCAACTACCTAGGGCTAAGCATGTCAAGGTCTCAGAGCTAATAGGGTTTATTACGTATATTTGACACTCAGAGAATATATACTGAGAGACTGTCTCTGCTTCGGATTGACAGTACGGGGAAGTTAGGACAAATACAAATTTATGGTCTCTGCTCAAACTTTGGGGAGAAAACCTAAGTGTGTTTTCCTAAGGTTCAAGCAGTAAATGATAAAAATACAAGAATGACCAGATCAAGTTCCAACATTTCGGGGCTGCCCCAGTACAAGGAGGTCGTGGCCTCCGCAGGCTTTTGGATGGGAGGGATTGAGAAAGTAAAAGGCAACCATGAGGGACAGGGCAGGTGCTGGCCAGGAGTACCTCTGGCTCAAAGACTGCTCCACTGTAGACTGGATTTGCTGTTGTTCTTCTTTTTCGCTCTTGCCTCTTGCTTTGGATTTCTTGGGAAGAGAAAAGGCTTGGATCAGAAGATGGTTGTGGAAAGCCTAAATATCTGAACTTCATGTTTTATGTATTGGTATTCCTCTAACAAATCAGGAACTGGGCAAAGTCTGGAGAAAAATCTATAAGACCACCTTCTGTCACCTCTTGGAAAGGAGGCCTGCATTTCTCAAAGCACTTCGAGGCCAACCACACCTGACTTGTTTTTTGACTGCTGTGTAAAGAGGTCTGGATGAACTTTCTCCTTAGACTGCTAACCAAAGTTCACCATTTTTGAAATAAATAACAAGAATAGGCATAGCTTTCTAACTTAAGATTCTGGTAACTCAGTGTCTAGAAAATAAGATGAGTATTTTTCAGAGGAGCATTTGCTACTTAAAGTTGACAGTGAATCAGACTTCTACAGTAAACAGGAGTCATTTTATTTCAGACAGCTGGGGAGGTTTTCCAAGTAAAGGAGCGTGACTGAAGCTAGGAAGGAGAGGGCTTGAGCATTACACAGAGGGAAAGCAGTTTTTCCTCTAAAGGAATAAAGTCCATACCAGTTGAATCACACTCTATTTGTGTTCCAATGTTCTATTCTAGGAATTCAATCTAACACCACTTTCAGGAACAAAGCCATGGGCCAGAAAGAAGGTAGTGCCAAGAATATCTTCTCTTACCTTCTAGATGGTCATGCGTTACCAGCCCTAGAGACACCATGAAGGCAAGTTTCTGTGCCAGGGAAACAAAAGAAGTACTTCAGTCTGTGTTCTCACAAAGCCCATCACAGGTTGCTGGTTATATACTTGGTAAAGCTTGCCTCATAGTCTGACTGCTTGACAGAGGCTAAGTTCTGAGGAAGCAAGAGCAGGTGGCATCCGCTCTGAGCACTCTGGGCCTCTTGATGCCAAAGAGAATGAATGAAACCTACAGTTTCCAGTTTTTCAATGTCAAAAATCATCTTGAGTGGGGTGCCGATCATGTTTGTAATCTTAGCTACTCAGGAGGCTGAGATATAAGAATCACAGTTTGAAGCCAGCCTGGGCAGGAAAATCCTTAAGACTCATTATCTTCAATTAACCACCAAAATGACAGAAGTGGAGCTGTGGCTTAAGTGGTAAAGCAGTAGACTTAGCAAAAAAGCTCAGGGATAATACCTAGGCTCTAAGTTCAAGTCCCAGGACTGGCACACACACAAAATCATGTTGAGTGACCTATTCTTTTCCTTAGAAAAATCTTAAAGATATGGTTTCATACTTATTAAAAAAAAAAAAAAGCCAGGTGCCGGTAGCTCAGGCCTGTAATCCTAGCTACTCAGGAGACTGAGATCTGAGGATCACAGTTCAAAGCCAGCCCAGGCAGGAAAGTCTGTGAGACTCTTGTCTCCCATTAGCCACCAAAAAACTGGAAATGGCACTGTGGCTCAAGTGGTAAGGTGCTTGCCTTGAGCTGAAGAGCTCAGGGATAGCACCCAGGCCCAGAGTTCAAGCCCCATGACTGAACAAAAAGGAAGAAAGAAGAGGAGGGGGAGGAGGGAGAGGAGGAGGAGGAGGAGGAGGA